GGGGGGGCATTAAAATCAACTCAGCCCCTGAGGCTTCGTGAACTGATCCCGTGAGATCCCAAACAAAAGCGCTTCAGTGGTGGCCACGTCTCTAGGGACTTGTGCTAAGTAGCATGTGATAAACTCAAGGGTGAAATTTTGTCTTTAATAATAATAATGATGATGATGATGATGATAATAGTAATAATTTTAATAATACTTTTGTGAATTTTAATCTCCATGAGATTATTCTGTGATCCAGGGTGCCATTGTTCGTTCAGTTGGTTTAATTTACACCGCTCCTCGAGTTTACTGTTAACTGGTTCTAATACCGATATTTTACTATGAAGTTTATTAACCTGGAATGTAAAACAAAACTGTAGTTCCTCCTACATCTTATTTACATGTGTTTATTTATAGTCTGCAGCGTAGGGCAGTAAATTGAAAGGATTATGTGTACTAAATTAACAAAAAATGCAGCCCCGAGTGACTTCCTGATTTCTTCAGAATAGCTCATGAAAATCAAGTGAGACTTAGTCTTAAAATAATCAGTTTTAATTCAGAAAACTTTGGGCTGTAGAATATTCAAACCTGAAAGAAGCAGCACCTAAAACTTGTTTTATTGATAGAATGGAATTTACTACATTTTACATATGCTTCATGCAATGAATTTTGCATGTTTAGTAATAACTCTTAATAATAAGGGTTAATAATAATAAGCAGATCTATATTATTGACATAATCATATCGAGCATAAAGAGTATTATAAAAATTTTATAAAGCAACTTGTGCTTTATTTGTGAAAGTTCTTGTTCTGAATGACACATTTAGATTTAGCTAAATGTTTCCTTGCTATTGTTTTGATTTTTACTTTAGGTTTTGGATATTGTTACTGGCTTAGGGTATAATCTCTTTTTTTAAAAGTAGATATACTTTTAAACAATAATTGCTACCTGCAGGTTTTATACGAGGTTCAATTAGGCTTTCATTTCACATCTGCTTATTACTTGCAGAGAAGGAAATAGACTTTATTTGCAATGATGAACACTGTAATTAATGCAATCTTCTCCTCTCCTATCACTTAGAGAAAAAAATTTTGATATTTCCTCTTCCAACTTACCAGAAGACATTAATTCAAACATCAGTAAATACGTTTTGTGCATATTTTGGTTTTGTTACAGCATGTAAAATAGTAGTTGGTGCAGTCCCCTTATTTTTTTGTCCCTTCTGCCTTGTTCCCCTTAGCAGCCATAGGCACTCTTTGTCTGTCAGATGTGCATGGTGATGCCAGAAGCATGATGTCTCTGTTGCTGCATGCAGACTGATTACGATTTTTCCAGCATGTAAACATATTCAGAAAGTAAGATATTTGCCATAAAAGACTTAAATTTATACTAGAACATGTAAGGGGGGGGAGGGTGGGAGGGGAGTCTACTTTCTAATCATCTTTTATGACAATAAAACATGGAACCTGTGCCAAAGATTCTGTCGGAAAGATCCGGTCCTGCAGAGTGGCAGCCAGGGGGGTGGCCTGTGGAGAGGGGGACAGTGGTGGAGGGAAACGGGGTTGGGTGTGAACGGCACCTGTGTGCTGGCTCTGCACCCCTGGGGCCTTCAGAAGCTGTTTGTGGTGCTGGGACGGGCGATTTCCAACACTCCAGGAGTCCTTTTGCAGCCCCAGCTCTAACCAGGAGAATCCTGGAGCGACCAGGCTTTGGTGACATCCCAAGGTGTGGGAAAGCACACGGCTCAGGAGGGGTGTTGGCCAACTGTCAGGAACTCAGATTGTTGCCTAAACAATCAGGACTCCAATTTTTTCACACGTGTCAGGAGCAAAGTTTTTAAGCCATTCTGTGTCGAACACGTTCTCAGCCAAGACTGGGGGTCCATTTTCTTCTTTGTGTATTCTGTACTTCAGAAACGATGGTGTTCACCTCAAAGCATGTGGCCTAGTGCAGCATTCGTGAGCTTTTATTTTTTTTCTGAGTATTATGAGCCTGATGTAGTTTAGGAAAATCAGAGTCTTCTAGTGTAGAAGATAAGAGATTGAGTTAAGATAACAGGTTACTGAGTGTCAGATTTGAAGGCAGAAGGGGCTCTCAGCTCAGTCAGTCTGCCCTGAGGCGGCATTGTGCGTGTCTTAAGAACGTGGAAAAAAACACTTTTGAGAAGGGAAAACACTGGGAGAAATGCCAGCACACAGGTTTGGGGTGTAAGAGAAGCAGAGCAAGGGCAGAGCTGAACCAGGTCAGAAACCAGGCAGGAGATCCCACGGGCAGATATTCCCACGGGTCTGTTTTCCTGATGAGTTGTCCAGGGAAGTCCCACTGCGGTTGTTCCCGGTACAGCTGTGACGGTCGGTGCTGTTCACACCAGGACACGGAGCTGGTCCAACACTGGGACGGAGCTGCTCATTTTCTGGCTGCTTCCCATAACCAGTCTCTTCAGCACTTGGATTTGTTCCCTAGTTTTTCTGACGTAGGAGCAGAAATTCCTCTTCAGAGTCGGTACCTCGAGTCCCCGGGTTTGCAACAAATCTTACCGTCCTCTGTAGGTGTCTGTAACGCTTAGGAAAAGGTTCTGTGAACTCTTGGGTCCTGCAGGAGCAAGGCAGGGTTGGATAAAGCAGGGACTGAGTGTTTGTTACCCCTCATTGCTCTGCTCACACGGGAGCTCTCGCTCTCGGACCGGCCCTGTCCCGAGAACTCCCGGTGGCTGCTCAGAATCCAGACATTTATAACGGCAAGGAAAACCTTAAGTATCCTGCAAGCGTTTTCCTATCTTTTTAAAGGCAGATGTTATTTATATAATATTTTTCACAAGATTTGGGTTCCTAGAGAACATGTATCAACAGAGGGAGAGGCATTAGAGCTGCTTTTTCTTTCACTTGTGTTCGATAGCAACTGTAATCCCAACACCCACGTTGCCACAAAGATTCCTAAAAGGAAAATTGAGAATTATATTGCACTGAAGCTCGGGTAGGAGTTTTGGGAGCTGTGTTTCCATCCCACAGCTTGAGTCCCAAGGTGTTCCAGGGCAGCCCCAATCCTGCTGAGGGAGGCACAGGTCTACCATGGAAAACTTCCGAGGGGTTTTCAGGGATCAAATGGGACTTAACTGGCTCCTGGGCAAATTTCTTCTTTATTCAGGCACCTGGGTGTTTTTGTGCAGCTTTGAGTCACTTGAGCAGGGTGGTGGGTTTCCAGAATAACCACCCACTGGCCAGTCTTGGTGTTCTCAGCAAGGATGGCACATCTGTGAGAAGGGGAGAGCACATTCCCATAATAAAATACTCCTTCTTAATGCAGTAGAGAGCAGAAATGCAATTTAGCTTTCTGATCCTTCATTCTTTCCAGAAGTACAATTGAATTTCCCTTTACAAACCGAAGAAAGTTCTTCTGGAAATCAGCTGTTAGTTCAACAGAAACTCATCACACCTGAACGCTGTTGGCCTTTGAAACCCATTCTGTCTTTGGGGGTGAGTTCAATTGAATAGTGCTGGGCTTCTATTAAATTAATAAGTCAAGTGAGAGAGGAACTTGTCGTCCAGCTGGAAAGGTGACATGTCCAAGGACTGAAAGGTACCACTTGCAAAGTCTTTTCTCAGCCGGTGCATCCGGATGCAATCCCAGTAAAATGCCATAGGAGAGACATGCAGTGAGCAGAGGGGGAAGATCCTCCTTACTGAGCCAAACACATCATTGGAAATAATAATAATAATAATAATAATAACAACAACAACAACAATCCAATAATAAAGCTTTGATATGCGAAGAAAGCATATTTACAGTATTGAGTTTACAGTGGGCTTTTGGACCTGCCAGGGAACTTCTGGAAGTATTTACTGTGATTTTCAGTCCTTGTAGCTGTTAGGATAAGTTACTGTGCACAGGTTTTTGTCTCTTTGCAGACCTGGAGTGTGGGCTCCAGGCTGTGTCCCCTCTGTGCTGATCCTAGGGAAACAAGCATAAAGAGCACTTTTTTTCCCTCAGCTCTGCACTCTTAGGCGGGATCTGAGATAGTTCAGTTGAAGAATTAAATAAGACTCGACTCCATAAACATGCCTGATCTCCTCACTGTGCCAGTAACAACTGGCAATTAAACAGCCTTATCATGACTAATCACCGTGCACTACAGCCCTCCTGTCCCCAGGAAAACCTTGAGAGGGAGAGGCCACTTATAGACCCCTCAGCTGTCAAATGGGGGTAACAACACTTACTTACCTCACAGGGAGGTGTGAGGACTTCTTAGGCAGTGTTTCTAATACACTTTTCACCTGAAAAGAGTCGTGTGAGTATTATTACCATTTTTACTCTTAAAATCAGCTTCTTTGGGATCCACATGGTACTGCTGGCTATACCATGCTGTTTCTACTTTTTTATAGAACTTTAGTAACTCTGCTGAAAGCGCCTCCAGAGAAACAAAATCAGACCTGATGACGTTTCTTACAGAACCTGGAGTCCAGTTTTTGTACCTGGAGTCAGGGGGTGGGTGGGTGGGGGGCAGTGATGCTGATTGTGTGGCTCAGCTGCACTCACCTCTTTTCCAGTTACCGAGATTTTTATGTGCAATTTAAAAATTCCACATCGATGGAAGTCTTGCCAGAACTGCTCATGGGAGGGTGAGATTCCCTGTGGATAAAAAAAGGTCAGCACAGTTGTTTTCTAGTAATGTTTATATGACTCCTGGTCCGTCCATGACAGGTTGATAACTTTCTGTTGATGTTTTAATATATTTCTGTGTTGTATTTATGTCTTTGTGGTTTTCTTTTCCTTGTCTGGGACACAGTATTTTGAATTGAAAACTGCTCCAGAAGATGTGTGTTTTTTTTTTTCTCCCACTGATGTCAGTTGACCTAAATAAATAAATTAAAGAGTCTGATAATGATTTTG